TCTCTCTCTGTCTCTCTCTCTGTCTCTCTCTCTGTCTCTCTCTGTCTCTCTCTCTCTCTCTCTCTCTCTCTCTCTCTCTCTCTCTCTCTCTCTCTCTCTGTAGTTCAGGCTGGCTTTAACCTCACTATGTCAGCCTCCCAAGATCCAGGGTTACAGATGTGCATCACCAACCACACCTGATAAATTCTTATTTTTTGAGAGAGTATTTCATTTATGTGAACATATCTTTTTCTTAAAGCAAGTTAAATAGAGCTCTTTAATGATTCTAATCTTGAATATCTTAAGCAGATAGAAAAAGATCACATATGTATTATACAGACAGACACATATCAACATATAAACAGACACAGATCCCAGAGCTTCAATTTTTAAAAAAATTTTGGCCATGAACCAGGTAAAATATCAAGCTCAAGGATTTATTAAAACATACATGGGTGGCCGGGGAGATGGCTCAGTGGAATAAACGCTTCCCTGGCAAGCGTAAGGGCCTGAGTTCAATCCCCAGTTCTGAAAAAAAAAAAAAAAATACATGGATCCTAATTTTTTTCTAGCCAATGAAGTGGAATTTCTGTGCAGCTGGCTAAAGGCTTTAATTAGGGCTGGTGAGATGGCTCAGTGGTCTAAAACACCTACTTAGAACAAGCTTAGCAAAGCACAGGGACCACAGTTCGATCCCCCAGCACCACATGCCAGCCAGCCCTGCCCCTGGTGGGCTGAGCTGGCCACACACACACACACACATAAATAAAAATAAAAATAAAGGCTTTAATTAATATCTGTAAAAAAGATGCTTAAGATTTTTTTCTTTTACTTTCTATGAGGAAGTTTGCAAAGAGGTAAACTTTTATTTATTTAATCTTAGATACCTCTGTGTTGTAGTGAAAGGATGAATCCTGTTGACTTTGTGTTTTGGATCCTCATTCTTCTAAAATCTCTCTCAAGTAATGTCAACTAGGTGAAAAGTTCCAGCTGTGGCCACTATCACTCTAAAGTATCCTTAATAAGGTTAATTCCATTTTTTTTTAAAGTTCATGGCCGATAATTTCTGTGAATAAAGTTAGCTTGCATCGCAGAGTAGACGCCGAGACCCTTGGATTAGGAGGCACTGAATTTCAAGCATCTAACTGAGGCCTCACTCTGGAAGCAATCCAGTTAATGATGTGATCCTGGACTAAGCCAAGTATAAAAGTGCCCAGAGAGCTCCAAAGACAAATTTATGATCTGAAGTCAAAAAGAAAACCTGCCCAAGACCCCCTGTTGCTATGTGAGGTCCTGGACATGAGGGGCCCTAGCTGGTCCATTTGTTCGATCTCACAGTCCCCCTGGAGTCACTGGAGGTTTACTTTAGATCCCTGATGCTAATCCACTAGAGGGAAAATGGTAGGTAGATTAAATTTTCCAGACTTTATTGAGCAAGGAAATGATTTATGACTTGGAAAGCCCTGGGATCAGTAAAGGATGGAAGAACTGCACCAAGCAGTGAGGAGGCAGTGGAGTCGATAGAGAGAGAAAGTCATGCACGGAAGCACCCCACCTCTGCTGCCTTGCTTTTGCCTTCCTGCCACACCTCTGTGCCTGTGCAGCATGAGGCTGGTGGAAGGACTGACACAGATGTCTGACCAAAGCTTGGCCATTTGTTCTAAGGCGATACTCCTGCTAGGTTACAGCTTGTTGATATGAGGAGTGAGGTTACCGTATGGTACACCTGGACACAGCTTGGACCAAATTTAATTTGATTCAGCTTATCACAATACATTGTCTTCGATCTAAACTTTAGTTTTAAAGTCATTCTGTACATACAAATGTAAAATTTTTGAAGAAAGTCTTACAAACTGTACTCTTGATGGCTGGGTATTTCTTTGAAGAAAAATATAGAATCAATCATGTTTATATTGTTTATTATGAATATTTTATGTGTTATTCAGAGGAAGGAGCCCACACGCACCAGAAATATTGCTGTTTTAATAGCAGCAAAGATGAGAATATTTTGATAATTTAAGTTGTTTTTTTTTTTTTTTTTTTTGCAGAACCAGGGATTGAACTCAGGCCCTTGCACTTGCCAGGGAAGTGCTTATTCCGCTGAGCTATCTCCCCAGCCCTGATAATTTAAGTTTTTGACATATAAATTCACATATTATGACATGTAATACATGTCAAAATATAGAAAGTTATTTCAAGCATAGACTTAACACTAAATTTTATTTTATTGCTTCTCTGGTCCTGCGGTTGACCCTCAGGACCTCATGCACGGTATGCAAGCGCCCTGCCACCGAATCACATCCCCCGCTCCTTATTAACTTTTAATGCAGAATAGTGTTATAGCATTATTCAACTGGAAAACAAAATGTGACCAAAAGCCAAAAAGATGAAATAATATTTAAAAATGGAGAGTTTTGAAAAGAAAGAGTAGGCAACTATGACCCTATTACTATTAGTATTTTTTCCCTTACTGTGGGTCTTAAGGTAGTTCTCTGCATTGCACTGTGGCCTGCTCCCCAATTTTTTCATAGTGCACATACATTAGACACACATACATATTATTTTGTTTGTCAGTGACGACTTTTGTCTTTATATTTCAGGGACTGATTGCTGCTGTGCTGGGACCCACATTTCAAGATTTGGCAAGAAATGTGAACCAAAATATGAGCAGTCTCTCTCAAATATTTGTGGGTCGTGCTTTGGGATATTTAGGTGGCTGCGCTCTTGGTGGAGTTCTTTTTGATCGTGTCAATCACTTTTTACTTTTAGGTAAGTAAGCAGAAGTTTCACTTCTTTGTTGACTTTTGATGAGTTTTCACCTTGGTTGTGCAGAGGAAAGCCAGCAGTCTGCAGAGCAGTTCGCTACTGAAGTGAATGGCACGCATCCTCCATGAAGCTGGGTTCCCGGCTACCTCTCTCCTTGGCAGTGAGAGGAAATGTGTTCTGGGCACTCAGGAAACTTGGTTTAGCTCTTCTCTGTCTCTCTCTCTCTCTCTCTCTCTCTCTCTCTCTCTCTCTCTTCCTGCATGAGTGTGTGTGTGCACGCATGCACAACCCTCAGCCTGCCCAACCTTCACTGTAACCAGGGAGGCACTGCAGGGTCACACAGGAGACCACTCTGTTCATCAGCGCAGAGGGCAGCTCCCTTGTTGCCACAGCAATCAGAACACACTCCAGGAACCTGCCTGAACTCTTTGGCCTAGGGATCAAGCATGCGGGGGTCCAGGATGGTGCAGGACTGACGAGGGCTACGTTCCTGCTCCTGCTTCCCCTATCAGTGATGACCCCTAACCGCTCGGCTTTCCTTTGGGTATACATTGTGAAGCTTTTAATCTACTCTTTTTTTTTTAATAAAATGACATTTTAAAAATTTAGATTAGTGTGATAAAACACCTAAGAAAGGAGAATAATCTGTTATTGGTGGTGAATTAAAAAACCCTTTGTAAGGGCTGGTGAGATAGCTCAGTGGAGTAAGTGCCTGTTTAGGCAAGTGCAGGGACCGGGGTTGATCCCCAGCACCACATGCTGCACCAGCCCTGCCTTCAGGGGCTGGTAATTATAATTATATATAATTTTCACATTACATATAATGAAAAGTGTACACCTAGAAATTTTGCAGATGTGTCATACACACATGCATGTATATATACATAAACACATGTATAAACTCAAGTATATGCACACATGCATGTATATGCACATGTGTGTTTTACACCTCTGTGCCCATATATGCATACATGTGTATGCACATACATCCATATATGTACATGCTCATATGTACATATATATACTTACATGTATGTATATGTGCACGTAACACACGTTTGAGGGGAGGTCTCAAGAAAGAACAAAAGGGGCTGGGGAGATAGCTCAGCAACATAAGTTCCTGCTTGGCAAGTGCAAGGTTCTGAGTTTGATCCCCAGTACAAAAAAAAAAGGAAGAAAGGATAGAAAAAAGAACTTAAGGCCTTGTATATCATATACAAGCAGTGTAGGCCTGAGGTACATACATTCTCAGTCCAGCACTATAGATCTTGTATTTCTCTCATTTTTTTTGAAAATTAAAGTTTTATTGCCACCTACAATGCATTTTCATTTTTACTTTTAAATAGTACCTCAGACCTAAAAGTCTTTTTCAGTTATTTAATGCAAAATGCTTAAGTAAGTAATTTCTGGACTTTCTCTTTTGCTCCAAAAGCTTTGTGATATAACTTCCAGTTTTATTACTAGCAGTGTTCGAATAGTCATGGTAATTTATAATTTATGTCATGGTGATTTATATTTTATAGTCCATAAAGCTTATAACAGATTTAAATGAAACAATCATTTGTAGAATCTGCAATCTTCTCAAGATATCCAAGTTTTAATTTGATTTTATGTAACATTTTTGTAATTTTTTAGGTTTACTTGACCCAGGAACCTTATGAATATTTTTTTTTTTTTTTGGCGGAACCAGGGATTGAACTCAGGCCCTTGCACTTGCCAGGCAAGCAAGCGCTTATTCTACCGTGAATATGTTTTTTATAGCTGCTTTTTTACCTTTGTTCTCAGGGGTGCTGATGTTGGCTACCTCCGTTGCTCACTATCTCATTCCTCTTTGCAAGACCGCAGCATTACTGATTGTCATGATGTGTGTCACGGGTATCGGAACCGGTGTTCTGGATACAGGTCAGTGAGTCCTTCAGTGTCACCTGGAAGGTGGTTAGCAAAAGTACAGCAGAAGATAGAAAGCTGTCACTTGCAAGGTTCTTCAGAGACCTGGACTTACCTAGTGCTTGTGGAGTCACCCAGTCAGAATCACCTGGCAGCTCCTCTTCTTGCTAATGAGGGACATTATGCGAACTTGAGGGTTTTGTTCTATGGGAAATTCACAGTGTCAGCACAGGGCAGGATCCCTGCTTGTGAATAATTATAGTGCAAGTGAGAGAGCTTTCATTTCATGAGAGAACTTCATTATTGCAGAGCAAGAGGAGCTGAAGGGTTAATAGGATACAAATAGAAACCACTATTTGGCTGTGAAAGCATAGAAAGAGCCATCCAATTTAAACCATACCCCCATTGCAGGGCTAAGAGAAATCTGTGGTGTGCGCTGTTTTCCTTCTTTTCCTTTGCTGTTGTTTTCTCACTGCTAAAGTTCCTGCTTTGCTGCCCCTTGTCCCTGAAAATGTAAATTACATAAGCGATATTGGCTTCGCACCAAATTCTGCTTTCTAAGCAGTAGTTACTGGATAGATTTTGGAAATATTTTATACTTAAGTTTAGTGTGGTTGAAAAATTACAAGGTAGAATTGTATGTCTGTCAGATAAAAAAAAATCTATTTATTATTAGGAGTCACTAACCTGTACAAAACTCTGTCTTTTGATCTTCTGGCTGACCAGTTAGTTGCAGATGCTAGAAATTTCTTGCTTTCTGTAATAAGCACAATAGAATCCTTGAGAGTTTTGATTTTTGGAGCATGTGTTTTGTGTCTGAATCTCTCTCTCTCTCTCTCTCTCTCTCTCTCTCTCTCTCTATATATATATATATATATATATATATATATATATATGTTTGTTTTTTTTTCTTTTCCTGGGGTGACTGCCAATCAAAACTACAGAAACCATTGCAGTAATTTGTGGTGGTGTGACCACTATCTAATAGCAAAATATTACATATAGTAAGTCTGGTGGCAGTGGGTTAGAGTTCTTCAACCACAGAAGTGATTGATAACTATGAATATTATAATGATTAAGCCATGTAAACGCTGCTTAACTCAAACCATTTCCCCATCTTTGATTGGTAGGTGGGAACATCCTTATCTTGATTCTATGGGGAGACCAAGGAGCCCCACACATGCAGGCCTTACACTTCAGTTTTGCCTTGGGTGCATTTTTGACTCCTCTTCTGGCAAAAGTGGCCCTGGGGACAAGGACAACAGTGTCAGCTGAAAACCACACAGAGCTCGACCTTCACCCTCCAGCCCTGAACCAATCACTTGAAGCTGACCCAGACCTTCTGTTCGCAGCACCTGATGACTTGAACTTACTGTGGGCTTACGCTTTTATTAGCACTTACATCTTTATAATTTCTGTCTTCTTGTTGGCTCTGTTTTTCAACAAAAGCTCAAGGCACCATAAGTCCACTGCATCTGCTCAGGCATCTCGAAGAGCTAAGCATCACAAGGCCCTGCTCTGCCTCCTTTTTCTGTTCTTCTTTTTTTACGTTGGAGCTGAGGTAACCTACAGCTCTTACATTTTCTCATTTGCAACCACCCATGTTGGCATGGAGGAAAGCGAAGCAGCTGGGCTGAACTCCATCTTCTGGGGGACGTTCGCAGCCTGCAGGGGCCTGGCGATCTTCTTTGCTACGTGTTTACAGCCTGGAACCATGATTGTGCTGAGCAACACTGGCAGCCTGGTCTCATGCTTATTTCTGGTGCTTTTTAACAAGAGCCCGATTTGTCTCTGGATCGCGAGTTCCGTGTATGGGGCCTCCATGGCTGCCACCTTTCCCAGTGGTGTTTCTTGGCTTGAGCAGTACACGAGCATAAGTGGGATTTCTGCAGCATTTATTCTAATTGGTGCTGCCCTAGGGGTGATGGCTATTCCTGCAGGAGCAGGTATTCTTCAAGGACAATACCCAGATCTGCCAGTAGTTCTATATACCTGTTTGGGGTCAACAATATTCATTATTGTTTTATTTGCTGTGATGTATAAGTTAGCCACCATTTCTGTCTATCACCAGCCAAATAAAAATATCAAAAGTGAGAAGCAGAAAGCTTTGTCCTCTAGTTCAAGACTAGGAGGAGGAAAATATGTAGAGGAATGTAATGAGGTGGTGTGAATTGATTAAATGCGTGGTGTGATGTGGCATTTTATAACATGTAAACATATAGCAATAGTTTAATGGAGGCCACAAATGAAATCCCCAACTAATTCCTCTCAATTGCAGTAATGTTTGAGTTTTCAGCTATTATTGGAATTGTCTTGTAGAGTCCTTTGTCAGAAATCAGGATGAAAATAAATATATTTGCTTAAAAAAAAAAGAAATCAGGATGAAAGGAACTAATTCTTAGAGAAGATGGATTACTTATTGATTTTCTTGAATAATCACCTTTCTTAAAAAGGCCAGGCAGAGCAGAGATTAGCAGATTTTCATCATGTTTTGCAGATCCGAGTTTCTATATCCATCTATAGCAAGTACTAAATTTTGAACATTTGGCATTGAATCCAGGGTTTTCTTTTTTCTTTTCTTTTCTTTTCTTTTCTTTTTTTTTTCAGAATTGGGGATTGAACTCAGGCCCTTGCACTTGCCAGTCAAGTATTTATTCTACTGAGCCATCTCCCTGGCCCCTGCAAGTGCTAAACTTTGAAATGTTCTATCATTCCCACAGTCTCTCTTACATTGCCAAGTGCCCACACAGTAGTATCTTGCATGAGACTAGTGTTTGAGGCTGATTTTGTAATATTTTATTGTTGCTACATTTTAGCACATACAGAGAAATCATTTGAGTTTGAGTGATCCAAACCCATGGAGGAGTAGAATGGATTTGATGAGCAAATTATGAGACAGTCATAAGCTGCCTGGAAAGTTGAGTTTAGTTTCCTAGAAGGACATCCTTCCAAATAGATATTTTACATAATTGGTTTACTTTATCTATAGGGTTGGCCAAAACACTAGTAATAATCAACTTGGTTTTTGATGTCTATGAAAAGAACACAGTAGAACCAAAGAAAACTGGGCTGCGCTCTGGCTGCACTGAGGCACCTTATGTAGGCCTCCTTTATCTCATCTCCTGGTCTGTGATATTAGAAGTAAGAATGAGATGATTTCCAAATCGAAAATGCATTGCTTTACAGTTGCATGAGATATTTCTAGAAATTAGTGTCATTACCAGCGATTCTCCCTTTTAACTGAGAATTGAAAAACAGAATAGCTTTAAGAATATACTATTATGAATATGTGCCACTTTACTGTACTTAATGTTTAATATTTTCTAATTTTGTGAAGAATATATTTTAATCCTTCATTTCATCATTGCAGTATATATGCTTCCCTCACACTTTTAAATACTTTGAGATCAAGATGTCTTACAATAAATGATCACCTAACATTGTGACAAAGTTAGTTGAACAATGTTGTATGTAAACATAAAATAATATTACATTTTATGGTCAGTATCTTAGAATTAATGAAATATAATAATGTATGAATTAATGAAGATTTTTTTTCAGGCTTTCTAAGAAAAAAATTATATGCTAATTTATCTGTATTTATGGGCAGATGTAATCTGCAAACACTGCATTCTGGTTTTGAATACTTAACAGAATTGCTACATTTCGAAGCTGTAAAGAGAATTTCTTGAGGCCCTAGACTACGTGAAAAGTTGGGACCTGGTCTTCCTGTTTCAAGCTTTGATTCTCTCTGGTTTTGTGGAGTGATCATATCAGCAACACTGTAAACCAGGCAGAAAGTCCAATTTACAACAGGGCACAGTCATTCCAGAGATTAGAATGTGTGTGTCACTCACCATGCAGAGCTCTTCCCTCTTCTGAGTTTTAAATACTACGAAACCAAAGTAAAATGAGAAGGTGGGTTGGTGGCCTAGGAGTCAAGGATGGCCCATGGCACTTCATCTGAGGATGGCAAATCTAGTGTGGCCATCCTTTGTTAAAGATAAGAACTGATGATAGGTGAGAACGGATGATACATTTTGTTTAGTTCTTCTTAAGTTTTATGCTAAATGATATCTAATTTATACCTAATTGTATTTTGCTTGAAAGTCTAATTTCTATAAATTTGCATTTAAGAAAAATGGCTTTGGCTTGTCTTCAGTGAAATACAACACGTTTTGTGACCACTGCCCATTCTTCTTCTACTCCTATCACAAGGTCTGTTCTTGTTAATGTGCAACAACTTTGGTGTGGACTGGTGGGGAAGTTGGTAGTAAAATGTCTTTCTGCTCTTTTTGTGCTGTACTCTCCCTTAGCTTGAACTTGGAAAGTGCTCCATTTCTTGTTTTCTCTCAGGCTGTTGGTCACTGGTAGGCTTCTTACAAAAGAGAATCTCTAATCAGCTTCTGCTTTTAGAGGGTATAAGATACAGCAGAGGGAGAGAATAATGGTAATAAAAACATGACACAGCTTTTGGAAATCCATGCTAGAATTTATTAGTTTCACAGTCCAAAATGTGAATGGCCATTGTATTAGTCAGAACTCTGTTACTGTAAGGAATACTTGAGATCATTTAGTTATAAAGAGAAAAGATCTGTTTTGGCTCACAGTTTTAGAGGTTCTCGTCCACCACTGCTTGGCTGCAGGCCTATGGCAATGCAACACGTCATGATGACAGCACATAATATAAAGCCACTTGCTGTATGTGTGGCACTTGGTTTCTTTTTAGCAATGGTAATAATGTCACCCTCCAGTCCAAAAGTTTACACATGCTCTGTAACTAGTTAGCCTACCAATTTTTAATGTCTTTTTGTTTGTTTCTCCTTGCTTTCTGTAAATATTGCTAAAACCAGTCAGTGGGCCGGGGAGATAGCTCGGCAGTCTAAGCCCCTGCTTGACAAACACAAGAACCCAGGTTTGATTCCTGGTATCACATGCCATGCCACTGTGCCAGCCATCAAAACAGACGTGGTGGTGCACACCTGTAATCCCAGTGCTAGAAAAGCTAATCCCAGCAGGATCACTACAAGTCTGAGCTGTGTAGTGAGACCCTGTACCAAATAAATAAATGATTAAAAAAAATAATTAAAATCATCCAGTAAAGGCCATGCCCCTGCCTGAATACTTTGCTGTCTTGACACCTATTCCATCAAGTAAACTAGCCCATCTTCTCAAAGCTCAGACTCCAAACTCCACAAAGTCTCAGGGATTATATACAGCACTGTCATCTCTTCTACCACAGTGCATCAAGGATGTCCTTTAGGTCAGTTCCCATTATGGTCCTCATTTCCTTCTGAAATCCCTGTCCACATGCTGTCAGCATTCTGGTCTCCTAGACCCTCCATAGAATCACCCAGTAAGCTCTGCTTATAGCATTCTAGGCTTTCTCTCATTGAAAATCCCAGATGTCTCCACATCATCAGCTATTATATCAGCAAAGGACTGGGGAGGTAGTTCAGTGTTAGGGTGCTTGCCTAGTCATAGCAAAGACATACTTCTTAGTACAAATTTTTTATATTAAGGAAGTTCCATTGTATAGCAAATGCCTGAAATCATTTATAAAAAGAAATCTATGTTGGCACATAGCTTTGATAGTTCTAATCCATGATCAATCCAATAGTCTATGCTGCTTTTGGGCTTCTGAGAAGGCCACATATGATGTAGTGGGGGGTGTTCGTGACAAAAGAAAGCCATTCACCCATGCCAAGAAGCAAAATAGACTGAGAAAGGTCAGGGTTTTCCAAATCCTCATCTATCTCAATTACCTAAAAGCTCTTCTAGTAGGCCCATCTCTCACAGGTTCAACTATTTAGCAATAGTACCACCCTGGGATCAAGACTTTAATATATGGACTGGGGAGACAAAAATTCAAACTGTAGCAGTCATATGTGATCATAAGCATTGTGAAAGCTTGCCTATGTATTCCTATGCTGCAAGTAAAAGATTTATTCTAATGCTAAGAAGTAACACTGAAAAACCACCAAGATGGCAGAGTAGTAAACAGCAGAGAAAGAGCCTCTTTGAGAGTTGCCATGCAGACACTGGATATATAGCCATGCGAGGAAGACAAGAAAGAGAAAACTGGGTCTTCTGGACTCAGGAAGGATCTGAAGCAAGAATTGAAGCCCATGGACAGAGTGAAGAGAAAAATTTTAACAAAGAAGGAGGAGCTAGATAGTGGATCCTTCTCCCTGAGTCTGGATACACTGCATGAGAGGAGAAGTTCAAACCTGTGGACACATGGAGACTGCTAGCAGCACTAGGGGCTTCCATAGGAGATGCAGCAGTAGAAGGGAGCAGTGGACATGAAGGACTTCACTGGCTGGAAGTAAGTGCTGCAGGCTTGGTTGCCCCACAGGAGAGAGCAATTGACTGGAAGCCACGTTGGAGAGGGGATGGCTGAGCTCGGAACTCAGAGTGGCTCCACCTAGGGGCTTCCAGCTGGGTTCAGACCAGTCACGGAAGCTGCATTGACTGCTGCAGTCTGGTCTTGGCCCCCATGGCCAGAATACAGACTGAACTACCAGGGAAATAAAGGTGCAGCCTCACTGAGCCTATCCATGAGATAACCATAAAGCTACTGCTGGCTTGCAGGGGCAAATCAACACAGATTTGGACTCTGTCTCCACATGTTGTCTATCAGTGACAGCAGAGACAATCATGGCAATGGATCTCTCTCTCTCTCTCTCTCTCTCTCTCTCTCTCTCTCTCTCTCTCTCTCATTTTGTTGTTGTTCTGGTAGTTGTATTGGTTTTCTTGTTATTTTACGTGTGTCTTTTTCTCCTTCATTGTTTGATCTTGGTTTTAAGAGTGCGAATGTCATTTTTAGCCTCTTTATGGTTGTTGTTTTCTTCTTTTTGTCTCTTCCTTCTCTCTTTCTCTCCATTCTTCTGCACCAGTTTCCCAAATTCAATGTGATTCCCTTGTTCTCCAGCGTTATTTCTAATCCCTTCCTCTTCTTCTACTGCCCTGTTTTCTACTAATCCTGTTGTCTACTAATTCTTTTTTCTTTTTTTTAAAGATTTAAAATTTCTGGAGACAACTGAGGCTGCGGGATCCTGAATAGACCCAGAGCGCAGGCCCAGAGAGTGAGTGAGACGACCGGGCCGCGGGATCTTGAATAGACCCAGAGCGCAGGCCCAGCACGGAACCGTTCAGCAGAAATCCCTGCAAAGAGGCTAGAGGCAAGACCCACCCAGCTGATTCAGGAGCAGAACATCTTGTCAGAGAGACACAATGGGTTCAACTCTAATGGCTGCAGCAGAAAGAAGTGGAGCACAGCAGCCAGATCCAAACAACACCCACTTGGAGGAATCTTAACTTCATAGATCTGGACCTG